GTGATTGGGAATTAGGAATGTCGGCATAGAAACATTGGCCCTGAGAGCTGTTCACGGTCAGGTTCCCCATGGACTTGCTGTCTAGACACTGTGATTGCAGACAACAGCCATCTAGCACCCACAGATTTGCAGCAACAAGAATGGCTTTGCTTGTAAATATGAACTGACTTTTTAAAAAAGAAAAGTGTGTGTGTGTGTGTGTGTGTGTACCACATATGCACAAGTGCCCACAAAGACCAAAAGAAGGCATCAGCTCTCTTGAGGCTGGAGTTACTTGGAGTTGTTACTTGCCTGGTGTGGGTACTGAAAACTGATTTGGAGCTTCTGTAAGATGAATGTGTTTTTAACTGCTAAGCTATCTCTCCAGCCCCCAAACTGACTTTAGAGAAAACCAGAAGTGACCGAGCATAGACACACAGGCCTTTAATCCCAGCATTCACTGGGCAGAATCTGTTATAAATAATGAGTTTTAGGCCATCCAGAGTGAGATAATGAGACCCTGTCTTTTAGAAATCAGTCAGTCAGTCAGTCAATCAAGTAATCAATTGCCAGAAGCCAAGCATGGTGGCACACACTTATAACCCAGCACTCTTGAGACTGAGACAGGAGAATTGTAAGTTTGAAGCCAGCCTGAGCTACATGGAGAGACCCTTGTCTCAAAAAACAGTGAATGGAAAGATGGCTTAGTGGTTAAGAGCTTTGGCTGCTCTTCTAAAAGACTGGGGTTCAGTACCCACATGGCTCATAACCATCTATCTCCGGTTCATGGGGTCCAACACCCTCTTCTGTTCTCCAGACACACAAGTAGAAAAGACATAAATACCACCAAAATACCCATGCGCATAAAACAATAAAATAGTTTTTAATTAAATAAACAAAACAAATACTAATAACAGAAGTTGTACAAAAGCTTTTAATGGAGGGATAGTTTTTTAAAAAATGTAATTAGGAGAACTAGAATAGAATACCAACACTACAGTACTCAAAGACACAGCATTTGTAAACCAAGACTAGAATGATGATTTTAAAAAGGAAGAGCTAAGATACTGAAGCACTCTTAGAAAAAAAAATACATATGTATGGGTGTGTGTGTGTGTGTGTGTGTAATTAGAAGCACCAGGTATGGTGACACACACCTATAATCCCAGTGCTCAGAAGGCTGAGACAGAAGGATCGTGAGTTTGAGGCCAGCCAGGGCTACTTAGCAAGACCTTTCTCAAAAGAAAGCAAAAATCAAAAGCTTAAAAAAGAATAAAATAGTTAGGATGTAAAATTGAGAATATTTTTCAGGTGTAGACATAAAGACAAGAGTGAAAAAATAGAAAAAAGATGTAAAGTTAGATAAATACAGGAAGCATAAAACCTTCATCTGAGCTCCAAAAGAAATAAAAAGCAAAAAGTAAAGCAAATGTTTTCCAAATCTGACAGACCTATTTTCCACATGGGTAGAAGCCAACAAGGATCTCATAAAATAAATAGAGAAGATACCCACAATAAGGCAGACCAGTGTTCAATTTTACAACATAGGGATAAAGATATGGCTTCTAAAACTAAGCTTTAAAGAAGGGGAAAGTGTGAAGCTGGGGATATGGCTCAGTCAGTAAGTACTTGCTTGCAACTATGAGTACCTGAGTTTGTATCTCAGTCATAAAAACAGCTGCAAACATCTGTATGCCAGTGCTGCAGAGGTGGAGACAGGTGCATCCCTGGGTCTTGCTGGCCAGCTAATCTAGCTGAACTGGCAAACTCCAGCTTCAATAAGAACCTTGTCTCACTCAGAATGATCTTTTCTAGGTCCCACCATTTGCCTGCAAATTTCATGATTTCCTCCTTTTTGATTGCTGAGTAGTATTCCATTGTGTAAAAATACCACAATTTCTGTACCCATTCCTCCGTTGATGGACATCTGGGTTGTTTCCAGGTTCTGGCTATTACAAATAAAGCTGCTATAAACATGGTTGAGCAAGTATCCCTTTCGTGTACTTGAGCAAACTTTGGGTATATACCTAGCAGTGGTATAGCTGGGTCTTGAGGAAGCACTAAAAGACAAACACGGTATATACTCACTTATATAGACCTATAAGATATGATAAACATAATGAAATCTATACACCTAAAAAAGATAATCAAGAGAGCGTACATGGGGTAAGATGTTCAATCCTCGTTTAGAAAGACAGATGGGATGTGCATTGAACGTATGACAGGAGTCTACTGAGCGCATCTGAAAGACTCTAACTAGCAGTGTTTTCAAAGCAGATACAAAGACTCATGACCAAACCTTTGGCAGAGTACAGGGAATCATATGAAAAAAGGGGAGTTAGTATGATGGGGAAAGGATAGGAGCTCCACAAGGACCAAATATATCTGGGCACAGGGTCTTTTCTGAGACTGACATTCAACCAAGGACCATGTATGGATATAACCTAGAACCTTTGCTCAGATGTAGCCTGTGGTAGCTCAGTAACCAATTGGTTTCCCAAAGTGAGGGGAACAGGGACTATTTCTAACAGGAACTCAATGACTGGCTCTTTGGCCTCTCCACCCCCCAAGGGAGGAGCAGTCCTGTTAGGCCACAGAGGAGGGCTTTGCAGCCAGTCCTGAAGATACCTGATAAAACAGGATCAGATGAATGGGGAGGAGGTCCCCCCCCATCAGTGGACTTGGAAAGGGGCAGGGAGGAGATGAAGGAGGGAAGGTGGGATTGGGAGGGAATGAGGGATCGGGACACGGCTGGGATACAGACTTAATAAAATGTAACTGATAAGAAAAATAAAATTAAAAAAAAAATTACTGTACAAAAAAAAAAAGAACCTTGTCTCAAAACAAGAGGAAGACACTTGTTATTCACTTCTGGTATCCACACAAACATGAATACAAATACCCCAAAAGAGTCAGGGGTCAGGACATCAAACAAACAAACAAAAGGGCCATTGACTTTAGCAAAAGTGGATACTAAAGTCAGTAGAGCAGCATTGTAAACGCTCTGAGGAAGGCAGATCAGTATATTATACTGCCCAGCAAAACAGCAAACAAATTCAAAGTAAAAGTAGTTCCAGGGGACGGTGAGAAGGCACTTGCCACTGAGCCTGATGACCTGAATCCCCAGAGCCCACAAGGTATGATGGGAGAACTAACTACCACAGGTTTGTCCTCTGTGTGTTGTGGAGCATTCACATTCCTCCTCTCCCTTCCTCCTGTACATACACAATACATAAATAATTTAAAAATTTTAAGTAGTTTCAGACATGTAGGGGCATGGATACACCTCTCATATATTGTTCTTACATTAGTTTGGGAAAATAATCTCCAGCAAAAAGGAATTAAGTAGACAGTGAGAATGAGACTCTCAATACCGGCAGCCAGATAGGAACATGCAAGGACAACAACCTGGCAGACTTGGGGGAAGATAGAGGGAGAGGACAGAGTCCTTGGAAGAGGTTTCAGGAAGGGAAAATGAGTTGGGAAACTGCGGCCATTCTGTATATTTGACAAATTAGTAAGCCTGTGCTTGCTCTGACACTGCATGGGAAAGCATTTAGGTAGATACATAGAAGCAAGGGGGAAGAAAGGCAAGTCAACTATTAATTCCAGGAAAAACAAAAGGCTTTACAAATAAAGGAAGTGTGATCTTTAGTACATTCCTTGAATTGTAGTAACCAATATTTACAGTCATAATAAATTATATTGACTGACCAAAAAGTTGTTAATTACATAGGAAGGATGACGGATATAGTAGAGAAGTAGGTCCTCCTGAATCACAAGAGGGGGCCAGAAGTTACTGTCTAAAATTGAAGCTGAGTGATTAGTGGAAACATTGGTAATAAATGGGTTTGGAAGCATTCTTGGAAGTAATAGCAAGGGTGAATAAAATATAAGGTGTGGCCTCTTTCATTGTGATTTTTATCACTGTTCCGTTACTGTAAGTTGTCGTTTACCCTCTATTTCTAGTTACTAATGGAGAGTCTTTTCTTCTTTCTGAAGGATGTGTGTAAAACATCTGACTCATTGAATGTTGGCTTGTTTTCCACCTTTTATCATTTGGTCATCTGCAGATACTGCATCCATGGGAGAAGGAAGACCTGAGTGGTCCATTTATAATGATGACTATGAGGCAACTTGTTGGTCCAAGATAAAGCAGACATCTGTAGTCATCATATGTTAAAGTGTTCTTGGTCATAAAGCCAGCACCTTGGCAGTGGCTTGTTATCTGTACAGATTTAGGCAAAATGAAAACAAGTTTCTAAATACTTGATAACTACAACATTACCCTTAATTATGAATTAAGTTGAGGTACTGCTCAAGCAGACTATTTCCTAATGCTGGAGTGACAGCTATGAACAATCTACTTGTACCAGAGAGAGTTTTTTGGCCTCTAGGCTTACAGTCCCCACAGGGCACCTTGGGATGTGAATGTCTGCTACTTGCTCCATTTATAGAAGACTCTAGGTAGCCATTGGGCAACTGAAAATTGCTGGATTATATCCACCTTGCTGCCTGTTCCACTGGGTCAGAAAATCGAGCTCATTGGGATTTTTACATCTGCTTGTTTTTTGTTTTTGTTTTTAAAAAGAGAGCAGAAGATTTGGCTCAATTAGCATATGTGAAGCCCTAGGTTTGATCCCCAAAACTGTGTGAATTAGTGATACATAGTGATACATACCTGTAATTCTAGTACTTGGGAGGTGAAAGCTAGAGGGTTAGAAGTTTAAGATCATCCTCAGATTATATATATACATATATATATATATATATATAAAGTTCCAGGTCAGCCTGGTATTTCTAAGACCCTGACTTGGAAAAAAAAAAAAAAAGGAAAGAAAAGGAAGAAAGGAGAGAGAGAGAAAGAAAAGAAAAAAAAGAGCATTTGAAAAAAAGCATTTAAGACTTTGCTGTTGGTAGATCCTATTATATAGGAATTCTAGGCCTCACAGTGACAGAATCTAGATACTCCTCCCTCTTTTGGTTTATTAATTTGTTTGTTTTATGTGTTTGCTCTTCAGAATGTTATGGAACAATTCAATCCTGGACTCCGGAATTTAATAAACCTAGGGAAAAATTATGAAAAAGCAGTGAATGGTAAGTCTTTTTATTTTTCTAAATTGATCAATATAAAGCACATATGAAATCTTGTAAGTTAACATTTAGCTTTAAATACTTAACACTGAATTTTAAACAGCAGTGCAGGTAGTACTTGTTATTTGAAGTGAGGGAACTGAGTAATAGTGAAGGTACTATAAGTGACATTTTAACTTGCAAATTGCACTTTTTGATATATAAAATTAGGCTTTTGTTATCATTTTCATTAACTTCTTAAAACAATTCTTTGGAAATGGATAGATTATACATATACTTAAAATATTTAAATATGGCCAGGTGTGCCACATGCCTCTAATCCCAGCACTTGGGAGGCAGAGGCAGTTGGATTTCTGTGAGTTTGAGGCCAGCCTGGTCTACATAATAAGATTCAGATCAACCAAGGCTACACAGTGAGAAAAACAAACAATAATAACATTTGAACACTAGTGTCTTGCTACATGAGAATCATTCATTCATTTAGCTGTATCAAAGAATTTCTTGCCTTTAGATAGAGTATTTTTTTTGTTTTATTTTGAGATAGAATCTCACTTTATAACATAGACTAGCCATCTTTAAACTCAGGAAGTCCCTCTTTTCACCCTCCCAAGTGCCAGGATTACAACTGTGAGCCACCATAACACCTTGCTGATGTGTTATTTTTATAATAACATGAAAAATAATATTTTTAACCTCAATGGCAGAACATCTATGTTAAAGGTTGGGCTTAGATTCTCATTTCAAAGTAAGTGCTCCATTGAAACTGAACTTAAAGCCAGGCCTGGTGGCATAAATCTATAATCACACTACTTGGGAGTCTGAGGTAGAAGGATTACAAGTCCTGTGCTAGCTTGGGCAAGTTAGCAAGAGCTTGTCTCAGAGACAGAGAGAGCAAGAGGGGAAGGAAGGTGGAGAGATGGGGAAAAGGAAGGAGAGAGAGGGAGATTTCAGGAAGCAACCGGCTAGCTAGGGCATGCCTTCAAGATCATGCACAAGCCGGAGAAGTACTTGTCTAACATGAATGAGACCCTAAATTCAATCCCCAACAAAATAAATAAATAAATAAATCCAACCATCGACATTTGTCCTTCTTTTGGGACCCAGTTGCTAGCAATGTTGATAAGCAGTTACTCCCACACTCCTAAAACTGAATGCTATTAGAATACCGTGATAATCACCCTAAAGGCAAGACCGTGTACTGTTTGGACCCCAAGCTGTGGATGACACGGAGCATGGTAGCTGCGGTCACTAGAAAAGTAGATTGCATAGGTGTACATTTTTTTCCTGCAGTACCAGGAAATATAATAGATCTTGGATCTTGCTTCTCTTGTCTTCACCTTCTACAGGCAACTTCCTTTCTCTGAGAGCAAGAGGCTGGTCTTGCAGCTCTCCCATAATCACCAGGCCATAAAGTCATTGCTGCCCCGAGTCCTCATAGGGAAATCACTATAACCTGTAGAGCTTTTTCCCCCCTGTGTAGCCTGAACTACTTTCTGAGGCAGTGTTACAAACTAAGTGAGCTGCTTGCAATTTAGCCTCCTGTTAAAAGGACTTTTCCCCCTAAGGACTCTTATCACTTCACCAGCTCCTAAAGATGAGTCTTTACCTGATAAGGATTCCCAGAACTTCTGCAGGCCATCTGGATATAGTTTTGCTGAAGCCACTGATAATTTTAGATACATTTATAAAGCCCTTGGTAACAATCTGGAGTAAAGACGAGGATATCAACCAGAAGTGCAGTCAGCAGCTTCTAAAGGTGGACTGACATGTGAATGGCTGAGAAAGAAATACAATCGTTGCCACAGGGATCTGAGCAGCAGTGGTTGGTGTTGACTGGGACAGGAGACCTTGCAAGAGCTGACAGGTACGGGATATCGGCAGACAGACACTGCTTCAAGCAGAAAATATGAGCTCTGGGCGCCACACTAGCCTGGGAAGAAGCCTTAAACAGGTGGGGCCGGACGATGTCAGCTCAGCCGTGCAGCGCAGTGTAGCACCAGGCGCCACTATTGTACAAATCTGCAGCTTCCCACAGACGTGGTGACTTACGGCGACACTTCTGCTTCCCCTGTAAAGGCAAGAGAGCTCTCTGGAGTCTCGGGGCTTGACACACTCTGTTCTCAGGTGACCTTTCTCCGTTAAGACAGCACTAATCCTAACGGCCTAGCATTGACTAGGTTCCAGTGTAAGTCCTGCTTGTTGGTACAGCACTTCTCAAAGCAAATTCAATGGCCAGCATCCCAGAGAACCACAAACTTAAAATCTGGAGGGGTGCAGTTCATTGAAACTATTGCTATAAAAAAAAAAAATGTCGTGAGCTTGTGGAGTGTGCACTTGTGGGAGACCTATGGAGGCTCTAGCAGAATGGGAACCCAATGAAACTGTTTTTTTATTTTTTATTTTATTTTTTTAATTTTTTCTTTTTTTGAAACTGTTTTAAGAAAAAAATTATCAGGAGGGCATAGCACATGCCTTTAAACCAAGCACTTGAGTGCCAGAGGCAGGTTAATCTTAAGCCAGCCTGGTCTACCTAGTGTATTCCAGGACCACCAGAGCTTCATAATGAGACCCTATATCAAAAAACAAATAAAAATTCTCTAGTAGAGGTAAGTATGTAGATAACTCTAGATTGAGGAGATGATTGAACAATCACTAAAGTACAATTCATAGGTTCCCTTAAACAGGAAGAAGCAGAAACTCTCACAAAGTGGAGCAAAGTTATCAGAATACTGTTTTATTCTTTACTAATTCCACATAAGTTTCACGGTTTTAAAGTTAATTTAGCTTTATTTTAAAAGCAAAGCTATTTTGAAAGACTGAGGTTACATAGTTTAAAATATAAGTCAACAGTTAATTTTTTTAATGTCAACTTAATGTGTGGGTGTAAACCAGAAATTTTAACTGTTGTGTAATCCTGAACGCAACTCTCCCACCAATGTGCACTTCAGTTTATCAGTACTTTACAACTTAAACCTTTCATTCGAACATCACTTACTGAGTTGACATTTGCTGGCAGCACACTTGCTTTTAGGTGGAGTTGCTTTTTCTTCAGTTCCAGCTAAAGCACCATGATTTAGAGCTGAGGAAGTAAAGTACCTCAGCAGGAGTTGTGTACACTGTGACTGACTCACACTGACCTTGGGGACAGCCTGAAATGTCTCCACTCCACTCCCTTTAGCAAAAGGCGCTGATAACATTACCCACCCTTGTCTTAACATTGTTGGGTAGATTAACTAAGTAATGACTTGAAAAGCCTATATAAATGCTGTCTGTTATTGTTATATACAATATAAGTTCTTCTCCAGTCTTATAAAAATAATAGGATAGCAGAACATTGCATTTCTTATTACAGATTCAATAAAAGCCTTAATATATATATTTACACTATATATTAATATATATATAATATTTACTATATATATATATTAAACTCCATAGTAAACACTGAAATAAATAAAATTAGAGGGCCAGGATTATGGCCTATGATACCTTCAGCTATACCTATACATGATGAGTCCTCTGACCTTTTTCTATACTTCCCCTTAAAAGTCCACCTTTTAGGTATGGTGATATAGCTTGGTGATCGAGTGTCTCCTTAGCATATGAGAATTAAAAATACAAATAGGGGCTGGAGACACGGCTCGGCAGGTTGGAGCGCTTGCTGGTCTTGTAGAGGACCAGCCTGAGTTTTATTCCCATCACCATTGGGCAGCTCACAATTGCATATAGCTCCTGTTCCAGGGAATCTAATGTCCTCTTCTGGCCTCTGAGGCTACCTGCATATGTGTGAGATATTCACACACAGACATACACATAAATTTTTTTAATCTTAATTTAAAAAAATAGGGACTAGGAAGATGGCTTAGTCAGTAAAGTACTTGTCTCAAGTATGAGAACCTGAGTTTGCTCTTTAGTGCCTGTGTAAAATGTCAGCACAAGCTTATAATTCTAACACTGAGGAGGCAGAGACAGGCAGATCACTAGGGCTCATTGCTCAGTTTAGTCTTAATTGGTGAGCTCCAGACCAATGGGAGACCCTGTCTCAAAGGTGGACCATGCTACTGAGGATGACACCCAAGGCTGTCTTCTCTCTTCCACACATGCATTGGTGAATATATGTAGACACATACACACACTAAAATAAATAAATTGCAACTATTTAGGTGTTTTTTTGTTTGGTTGGTTTTTTGTTTGGGTGTTTTTTGTTTTTTGAGTTTTTGTTTGTATGTTTGTTTTTGGTTTCTTGAGACAGGGTTTCTCTGTGTAGCCTTGGCTGTCCTGGCCTACAGATCAGGCTAGCCTCAAACTCTCAGAGATCCGCTTGCCTCTGCCTCTGCCTCTGCCTCTGCCTCTGCCTCTGCCTCTGCCT